CATATGCTGCCATTTTTATAAACTCCTTTGCAGGCTGAGCTAAGAAAGATGAGGTTTTTACTCTTGGACACTGAAGGGAAGGAAGGCCTCATCTATCTGGTCATTAGAAGTACCCTGAATCATAAACTCAGTAGCCAGAAGGACTTCCTCCCGCTTCTCTGTGTTTACATTTTTTTGCTGTCATCTTGAGACTTTTTTGCTTGTTCATCTGTGAATCAAGCAGGAAAAAGTTGTAAGCTTCTAGATGTATATGGATGGGACAAGTCATACTGAGGATGACCTGCCAGTCCTCTGTCCCCATACTAGGTTTCTAAGTTCTACACGAGTCCTGTCTGAGGGATAGGGAATACAAATGAAGCTGTTGAAGAATCCGTAAATTTTCAGAAGTGGATGACTCACTGTGGGCTGGGAAGACATCCCAAAGAAAGTCTACTCTCTGAGCATGGATGACGTTCAGTCACAAGAGATTACTATGCATTCTTCCATCTTTCTCTGACATCATTGTACTTTACACCAAATATTTCACAGGATCGAGCCTGACCCTGGAATGCTAGTCACTCCCTTCTGTATGTTCAGGGCTTCCTATCAGGAAATGACCCATAGCCCTATGCGTTGAGTACATTTACTCCAGAAGCACGATACCTCCGGTTTCTGTGCCAAAAGTAAGAAGAATCTGGACCAGCTTAGATAATTAAGTTGATTAAGCTCTTAGGGAATTTTTCTTGGGACTTGTCTCTGCCCTGATTGCCTCATCCCCAAATCCTGACTGAGAGCTTGATATACTCCATCATTGTTGGTCAACAGGGAACAGGAGCTAGGTGACACAACTACTTTCTTCAGGTCTTTAATGAGACGCTTAGGGAGTCTATACCCAGTGGAAGTGGATGCTGCAGGAAACACCCTTCTAATTCTCCCAAACCTCCTTCCCACACAGAGGACTAAGACAGTGATCACTCACTCACTTTTCACTTTCTCAGAACCTTCCTAGATTTCTGAGACTTTCCAATCCTTAGAATAAAGGACACCATTGCCCAGCAACTCCAAGGTGAAAATAATAGAAGTAGCCTATCCAGATATTTTCAGAATAGCAGAGATGCCAATGTTTCTTTTGCAGTAAGAGTTGCTCACTCTCACATAGAGGGAGCAGCGGCAGGAGTCACACACCCATCAGTTGGAGCTTGAAATCAGTACAATAACTGGCTGCTTTTCTTTTTTCTTTGAGCTACTAAAGGGTGGGAGCGAGTCTGGGAATGTTACCAGAGGTACACATGGTTGCAGGGAAGGTGGTGTATGTGCATGAATGCTTTTACGTTATAGTCAATAAAACTAAAAGGGGGAACACAGGAAACAAGCACCATGGAAAACTGGGATTTGTGAATTTGTAATTAGGAGTGGATCTTAATTTAGAAACTTTAACGAAGGCTTAGTATAAACCTGACTGTAGCATACAAACCTGAAGACTGCATTCTTACCTCTGTCTCTCTCCTCTGTAGCTGGACTCAGACCTATGGAAGGCTCCAACCAGTCTAGCGTCTCCGAGTTCCTCCTCCTGGGACTCTCCAGGCAGCCCCAGCAGCAGCAGCAGCTCCTTTTCCTGCTCTTCCTCGTCATGTACCTGGTCACTGTCCTGGGAAACCTGCTCATCATCCTGGCCATCGGCATAGACTCCCACCTGCACAGCCCCATGTACTTCTTCCTCAGCAACCTGTCCTTTGTGGATGTCTGCTTCTCCTCCACCACTGTCCCCAAGATGCTGGCCATACACATACTCAGGAATCAGGCCATTTCCTTTTCTGGGTGTCTCATGCAAATTTATTTTCTTTGTGTGTTTGCTGTCATGGACAATTTCCTGCTGGCTGTGATGGCCTATGACCGGCATGTGGCCATATGCCACCCTTTACACTACACAACAAAGATGACCCGTCAGCTCTGTGTCCTCCTTGTGGTCGGATCCTGGGTGGTAGCCAGCCTGAATGCTCTATTGCACACCCTGCTCATGGCTCAACTCTCATTCTGTGCAGACAACACCATCCCTCACTTCTTCTGTGACGTCACTCCCCTCCTGAAACTCTCCTGCTCTGACACACACCTCAATGAGCTGATGATTCTTGTTGTTGCAGGGCTGATAATGATAGCCCCATTTTTTTGCATCCTCGCGTCTTACATCCTTATTGCTTTTGCCGTCCTGAGAGTCTCATCCACAAGTGGAAGGTGGAAAGCCTTCTCCACCTGCAGCTCCCACTTGGCTTTGGTCTGCCTCTTCTATGGCACCATCATATCCCTGTATTTCAACCCCTCCTCCTCTCACTCAGCTGGGAGTGACATGGCAGCCGCCATGATGTACACAGTGGTGACCCCCATGCTGAACCCTTTCATCTACAGCCTGAGGAACAGGGAACTGAAGGGAGCTTTAAGTAAAGTGCTTACCATGAAATTTTTATCTGCTCAGTAAAGCTAAGAAAATCTTATAAAGAAGCAATTTCCAAGAAAACCATTTTACTCTACTGTGTGAAAGTTAACATTTTTGTTTGTTAGGAAAGCATCTACTGTTGTTCTTGGGAGAATAAAATCCCTGTTGTAGACTAAATAAGTGAAAAGTGGAAAGCTACTTGAGGTGTAGCTCAGTTGTGAAGTGCTTACCTAGCATGTACAAGGCCCGGGTTTGATTCCTAGTCATGTCAAGATAAATATAAAATTTTTCAAAGATTTAAAATGTGTGTGTGTGGATGGCACGTGTGTGTCTAAGAAGACAAAAGAGGGTTATAGGTGTGTGTGTCACCTGATATGGGTCCTAGAAACCAAATTTGGGTCCTCTGAAAGAACAGCAAGTTGCTGAGCCATCTCTTATGCTCAATAAAAACGCTTCAATCAAACCCTTTCATTTCAATAATGAGTGTCCACCTGACCAAAGGCACCACAAACAAACCTACATTTTATTCCTGATTAGAAGAGAAGAGAATGCACATGCCTAGGGAACTGTGAGGTGTCTCAGCTAAAAGGGAATTTTGATAAGCTAAGTTTCTTTGGGTAGTTTTGGAAAAGAATTGGAGACTGACTGTTGCTTCAGATGGGATGCTGGTATTCAGGATGCTTGTGATTGGCTCTCGGTGTATTTCATTTAGAAGAAAGAAATAGATAAAGCTTGAGCTCTGGCCAAGAAATAATAGCCATTCATGTCAATCATCTTGGAGCACTGGGTGTGGGTCATTTTGTGGTCAGGACAAATATATATATATATATATATATATATATATATATATATATATATAGTCGTTACCATTTGTTGACAAAGTCTCTCTCTCTCTCTCTCTCTCTCTCTCTCTCTCTCTCTCTCTCTCTCTGTCTCTTGGTTTTTTGAGACAGAATTTTCTGTGTAGCTTTATAGACCAGGCTGTCCTGGAACTCACAGAGATCCCCCTGCCTCTGCCTCCGGAGTGCTTGGACTAAAGGTGTGTGTAACCTTGGCTATCCTTTAACTCATTTTTTAGACCTAGCTGGCCTCAAACTCATGTAGCTCTGCCTGCCTCTGCCTCCGAAGTGCTGGGACTTAAGGCATGTATCACCTCGTCTAGGATAGGACAATTTTGTTGATAATGTACTCAGCAGCCATTGCAGAATTATCTCTTGTGATGTCACAATCATAGAGACCTTACTTGCTACATCTCTTCTATGAAATTATGTTCACTGGGAAAATTCCAAACTGTGCCCACCCAGCTCCTGGGTGACAGAACTAAGCTTACTTTCTTACAAGTCTTTGATTTGAGCACTTCTGAGAACACTCAACCTAGCAAGCAAGGTGATTACAGCTCTTCATACATTTCTTAATGTGCAAAGTTTGATATATAGACTGTCTTTAAAAGAACTGGTCTGTTTTCCAATTTGTGAGTGTTCTTTTCATAGGATTCCTTTACTATTCTTTTAAAATTTTAGATTTTTAATTTATGTATATGCGTGTTTTTCTGTATGTATGCCTGTATTATGTGTGTATAGTTCCCAAGGAGACCAGATGAGGGCACTGGGCCCCTGGAACTGGAGTTCAGACATCAGCTGTTATGTGGGTGCTAGGAACCAACCTAAGTCCTCTGAAATAACAGTCATTCTTTTAAACACTAAGTCATCTCTCCAGCTCCCTTTTATCATTCTTTTAATGTTGATGGGATTGCTGGTAATGTTTCCTCAGTGATTTCTGGTATACACGTGTTTCAGGTTCATGTGTTACAGGGTTATGTTGCTATTGGGGAATGGTGGGACCTTTGGGTGTTGTGAGATCCCTCCTGGGTCCCGTTGCTGCTTTAGCCCCCAAATAACACACAGAATGCTATATTGGCTGTTTGCTATGGTTTCTAATTGGCTAGCTCTGACCTAATTTTTTACCCATAACTACTAATATATATTTTTATAAGGTCTTATGTTACCGAGAGCACAGACTTGTGTCCTCTTCCCAAGAAGATCACATGGTGACGACTCTCTTCACTACATTTTCCAGAATCCCTCTAGACTCCTAGTCCCACCTATCTTGCTTCCCTATTGGCCAACGGTGCTTTATTTACATATACACAGAAGGACTTCCCCATCGTTTGGGGGTAAGGCTTAATGCAAAGAAGTCATCAGCACACCCTTAAGGGGACATAGGACTTCAACCCTTTTCCGTGTCCTCCTTTGCTCACAGAATCCCATGAGGTAAACAGACCCTCTCCACCCTCCATGCCCTTCTTATAGGGAGCTTCCATAGATCCAAAGCAACAAGGTCAAGCAACTGTGAACTGAGAGCTTGGGCACTGAGTCCAAATAAACCTTCCCTCTCTTAATTTTCTCAGATCTTGTTACAGAAATGGAAAGCTAAATGCCATTGGCTTCAGATCTCCTTGCTCAGACGTGCATCCAAGGACAGAAATGTCCAGTCACCACTGTTGTAAATTTTAATACACCAAATTTTATTTGCATTTTTGCTATGTTTTACATGACATTTTTCCTTTGACCCATTTATTTAGAAATGTTCTTTAATCAATAAATATTTGAGATTCATAATTCTTTGTGAAACTTTTCAGACAGAGGTAGGACCTTTCCTGATCCCATTTCTGCTCCTGGGTGGTAGAAGCTGAGTGAGTTCTCTGGCACCAAATGTGGACTGACAACCGACTGAATCTTCTCCCATGTTTGTTTTGAAGCTGTGTGGTCTCCCAGTCATATCACTCTGCAGGTGAAGCACAAATTCTTCATTTGGGGGAAGGTTTTCCCACATTCTGAACACTTAAATATTTTCTTCCCTACATGAATTCTTTTATGGCAATTCTGACAAAAATTCTGATGATATTTTTCCACACTGAGTACAGGAATAGGGTTTCTTCCCTATATGGATTCACTTGTGCTTATTAAGGTTTGTTTTATGATTGAATCCTTTCTCACAGTGGCTACAGTCATGGGGCATCTCACCAGTGTGACTCCTCTGATGGGAAATACGGTTAGAACTTTCATAAAACTGCTTCCCACATAAGGCACATGTACAATGTCTTTTTTTCTCATCTCGAGAAAGTGCAGCAATATCAATGTCCACATATTTTGAGAGATCTTCCAGTGGAGCACTACTTTCAATTTGCTTCTCAATTTCCTTCTGCTGTGGAATGGGTGTGTTTATTCCTTCTTCTTGGCAAGCTGGAGGTCACTTAGAAACCCAGAAACAAGCCACTGCATCAATATCTGAAGATTTCTCTCTATAATCTTGTTTCTAAAGATCTTCATCCCTGAGATTACTCCCATTGCTGAAATAGAGACTGTTACTGTTGAGTTATGACAACATTGGCCAGGAAAAGCCAGGTTTCTTATTAAACAACAACCTTGATGAAAACTTTAGCTTTTACAATATACAGGTTTTTCTGTATTTAGCTTGTACTTCACAATAAAGTCTTGGCCGAGGCAGATGGCTCAGTGGGCTCACGTTTGCTAGGTAAGTATGAGGAACTGAGTTTAAATCCAGTACCTATGTAAAGCCAAGCACGGTGGTATGCACCTGTAACTACAGGAGGGAGGCAGATATGAAGTTCACTGGCCAGCCAGGCAAGCATGAACGCAAGCACTAGGTTTAGTGAGAGACTCTGCCTCAAAAAATAAGATGGAGCTGGGTACAGTGGTTCACATTTTAATCCCTGCTCTTGAAGGCAAAGACAAGTGGATCTTTAAATTTGCCTGCCTGGTCTACATAATACCAGGTTAACCAGGACTACACAGTAAGAGCCTGTTTCTAAAACAAACACAAAACCACTAATGTACTTAGTGGATCTATTTAGTTTTTTTAAAGCATAAATTAGACTTCGTTTTCCTCATTTTCTAATATCTACTCCTCTTAATTCCATTTTCTTAACTTATTGCTGTATAAACTTATTAAAATGGTTAAAACATGTCGGGTTCCGTTTGGGTTTCAATTTTAAGACACTACCATCAGTTTTTGTTTTGTATACCAACTGTTGAGTAAGTATTAAGTTAAGGGACTGAGGTTATAGCTCTGTTTATAGAGTTAGCATTCACAATGTCCTGGGCCTGCTGCCCCAGCTGTCTCAACCCGGCCTGGTGGGGCATGCCTATAATCCTAGCATTTAGGAGATGTAGGAAATACATCAGTTATGGGAGAAATGACCTTCTTATGATGTTAAGTCTTCATAGCTTAAAATTGTTTCTTTCTATTCATTCAAATCAACTTTTTTATCCATTTAAATTTTCTACGTATCAGAAGCTTATTCCTAGGCATTTAGTCTTTTGTGTTACTATTTTAGTGGGGTTTTCATTGTCCCCTTTAAGTGGTAATCTGTCTGCATATGTGAAAGCTACTTTCTTTTTATCAACTTAACATCCTATTACCTTACTACTCTGTGTTTTCAGATATGATGTATGGTTTTCTAGCTACACAAGTATGCCATACACCAATAGTTCTCTCTAAAATCCTAATGCATCTGATTTCTTATTTGTTTACCTGTGGTAGCTAGAACCCAAGACAAAATGCTAAATAGTAGCAGTGCTAGTGGGATTTTTTAAATTATGGTCTCAATTTTAGTGGGAATGCTTCCATTAAAGAGGTATTTTAAGGTTTAATCCCCAGCATACATAAGCCTGTAATCCCAGCACTCAGGAGATGGAGGAAGGAGAATCAGAAGTTCTTGGCCAGCCTGGGATACATGAGATTTTTTTCTTTAAGAAAAAAAAAAGCATTTAAAAATCAGGAACGGGAGCTGGGGAGATGGCTCAGCAGTTAAGAACACTCGCTGCTCTTCCAGAGGACCCAGGTTCAGTTCTCAGCATCCACATGGAAGGTTATACCTGTATGTAGCTCCAGTTCCAGGACTTCTGACACTTTCACATAGACATACATGCAGCCAAAACCCAATGAACAATAAATAAAAATAAATGATATATATGCACTGGGTCTGATCCCCAACACAGAAAAAATGCACTTTAACACTGGTTGAAGGGATTAAAAGCTTATCACTAACTTACTGGGTCTTCTTATAAGGGAGTTGAATTTTATCATTTCAATAACTATGAAAATGACCATATATTAAAAGAAATATTTTATGTGTGTGGTGGTTTAAATAAGAATGGACCCCCATAAGCTTAAATATTTGAATGCTTAGTTACTAGGAAGTGGCCCTATTTGAAAGGATTATGAGGATAAGGAGGTGTGGCTTTGTTGGAGTAGCTATGGCCTTGGAGTGTGTCACTGGTGGTGGGCTTTGCATCCCTTAGAAGTGTAGTTATGGATGGTTGTGTGCTAGGAATCAGACCTGGGTCTTCTGCAAGAATAAGTGCTCTTACCTGCTGAGCCACTTCTCTAGCTCCCTTACCAGACTGAAAGAAACTCCATGAGCCAGGCGGTCTCACCTTTAATCTCAGCACTTGGGAGGCAAAGGCAGACAGATCTCTGTGAATTTGAGGCTAGCCCTGGTCTACAGAACTAGTTCTAGACAGCCAAGGCTACATAAGAAACCCAATGAAGTTTCTTTTAATATGATTCTATTAGTAGACTTTTTGGTATAACTTCTATCCTTAAGTTATTCTGCATTCTTGGGATAAATCTTTGATTCAGGCATGGTAGGAAAAGGGTACCATTAAAAAATGATATTTTTTCAGGTTTCACTGCTTGTTTTTGTTTTTTGATACAGGGTTTATCTATGTAACCCTGGCTATCCTGTAACTCACTCTGTAGCTGAGATTGGCCTTGAACTATGAGATTTGCCTGCCTCTGCCCCCAGTGCAGGGACTAAAGATGTGTGACACTGTTCAGCCAGTTTTCAGTGTTGTAGTATACTCATTTCATAAAAAGCAATTTCTAAAGTCTTTTTCTATACTATGGTATATAGATTTTCTTTGATTTGAATTGTCTAAAATTTAATGATTTAGAAGAATTTTCTGTGAAACAGCTTGAGACTAATATTTTCCCCATAGACAGAAGCAAATCCTTTAGTAATTTAAATTTCCTTCATGGAAATTGTGTTATATGGTTTTAAGTCTGACTTAATAATTTATTTTTTCTAAAATGAAAGCATTAATTTCTAGTTTTATATTAATGCCTGTTATTTATCCTGTTTTTAAATTTCAGAGGAATAATTATCATTAAAATTTTATGCATATTAATTACATATTAAATAAAATGAACAGCTATGAATTTTTTCTGAGAATAATTTCAGTTTTCATCATAGATTGTTTTTTTTTGTTGTTGTTTTATTCTGTTTGACAGGGTCTTATTATGTAACCATGGCTGGCCTGAAACTTGCTATGTAGATTAGGCTAGCCTCCAATTCACAGAGATCTGTCCACTTTTGTCTCCTGTGTACTGACTGGGATTACAGGCATGAGTTACCATGCCTGCCCACATCATGAATGCTGAAATAGACATGAAGTTCTGATAGTGTTCTATAAAAATTTTTGCAAACCGAATTTGTTTCTCCATCTTTGGCCTAAATTTTTTTTCTGGGGCTGAGGATGTAGCTCAGTTGATAAGAGTGCCTGCCTCAATTGCACAAAGGCCTGGGTTCAATGTCTAGCACCACATAAAGCAGGCATGATAATGAATTCCTGCAGTCTGAACACTCAGGTAAGGGACAGGAGGATAAGGAGTTCAGGGTCATCCTTGGCCACATAGTGAGCTTGAGGCCAGCCTGGGCTACACAGAGATCCTATAGACAACCTTGTTTTTAGTTACTTGTTTTGAGCTTAACTTTTGAAAACATCTACAGGGGACTATGTAAGGTTTATCCCTGTAAATAATCACCTTAATACTTAGCATCATTACAATGAACAATCTTGATCATTTATAAATATGGCTAGTAACTTGTATGTCTTAACATTTTACAATAGGTTAGCAGCTTTTATAAGAATAGGACTTTATACTCTCGGGTTTAGCTTTTAAAATTTAATGCTTGACATTTTAAAGGAGTTCTCCATGTTGTGGTGATTCCCTATTACAAAAATGTCCTGTTGTTATCAGTCCAAATATCTGACATACAGGTGGTCCTAGGATACCCTTATAAAAAGGTTTTTAAACCCCCAAAGGATTGAGAATCATGGGCTTAGAAGCTACTCCAAGCCATTTGCCAGATTTAGGTCATTGTCTTACTGCATCACAAGAAATAAACATCCAAATTTCTGGTTAGCATATGGTACTTATGGCTATGACCCTAAACTTTAGATTTTAATTTAAGTACAATTATTAACAATATAAAACATTTTATGATCCCAAGTATCCCATAGCCTTATAAATTTAAACATTTAAAAACCTGGGATTGACATGTAAAACAAGCTATTTAAAATAAAAAAATGTGCAAAAAAACTGTTCTTAAAAAAATTAAAAATCTTTCAATGCCTTTCAGCGATATCAAAAATAAAGTACCCTTTATACATTTAAAACCATTATCACCTGGGTGACTATAAGGTACATGAATCATATAAAAATCCATCTCAATCTAAACTCTCTTAGAGATCTGTTTCATCTCCTAACTAGGCCCACTCCACATGGTCACTTTCAACCAAGATGGTGGTTAGAGCATCTTTTTCAACTGCAGCAAAAATGGCTACCAGCCATCTGGCTAGCTAAAAAATGGCTGCAATCCAAACTATTTCTGTTTTAGCTCTATGCTTGCAACAAAACTTACAATTACCAGAAAATGTAGATAAAACTTTCTAACAAGCATACACAATTTTTTGAGAAATAGACAAACTTTTTAACCAGGATTGACCTAATATGATCAAAATTTTAATTTATATTAGCAGCTTTTTTCAAATTCAGTATTTGCAGGCATGAGAAACCACAGAAGACAGTTCACATTTCCCTTTGACCTTCTATAGCTTTCTATATACCTTTACTTGAAAGGGGTAAACTAAACTCAAAAGCTTCACTTCTAATAATTTAGAAATAAAGGGACCAGACCCTCACTCAGCCCCCCTGCTTTAGTAGCCTTGACAGGCAACAGAAAAGACACGTAGGTCTCTGACACAAGAAAACTCCAGATCCTCTGGCCTCCTGGAGTCTAGGGCCAAAACTGGACACAAAGAAACTCCAAATACTCCCCTCCCCCAGCCTCCTAGATATTTGGTTCCTGGGAACAGTTTGGCCACAAAAGAAACTCCAGAGGGCACCAAAACCTCCCCTGTAATCTCCAGGATATAATTCTGAAAACTATTGGTATCTATGTACAATAGGCCATCTGCAAGTAACAAAACAATGCCATAGAAACCACAGAATGTTTCCTCTTAGCACTGACCAACAAAGATAATTGATCCCAAATGTCAATCAATCAGAAACCAACCCGTACTTACTGATATAATCCTGTAACTTTTTGCCTCTGGTAGCTGCTGTGACAGCTAGCCAGACTGGGTCCTTGTCATGGTTGGATGAAAAATTAAAACCTTGCTTTTGCAGTTTGGTGGGTCTGTCTTCCTGGTGGTCTCTGGGGACTTTGCAACTTGGGCACAACATTACTCTCTTTCTCTGATACCTCAGACATTTTTACTTTAGGCAAATTATTCTTTCCTTTTCCCTCTCTTTATTACTTTAGTCTCCTACCCTTTCTCTCATTTCATAGTCAACATAAAAACTTACCAAAGTCTTTCTTGTGGTTTCAATAACTCGAAACTTGAATTAACATATTAAAACCAATACCTTGGCCTTTCCGATTAAGTTTGATGCTATGCACTGCCCGAGGTGCTGCGGAAAAACCGAGGCCCAGCGTGTGAACCCAGCAGGGGAAGACCAGTGTGCAGCCCCTTGCCCTGACTGGCAAGACAGCAGAGGGGGTGGAAAACCCCCACCCCGCACCAGGAGCCACACGCAGGTGGGTGGGTGGGGCACAGCTGGTGTAATCCACAGGAAGGGCCAGGCTCGAATCCAGAGTCACTGCCACCACTGCCACCAGGATTCAGTGAGCGCTGCCACTGGGGGGCTATAACTTCCCTGCCTCTTGCAGCCACAGCATGGCTGCTTTGTAGTGAGACAGCAGCACACAGCATGGAAACACGAGATTCTCTGTTTTTACAAAGGGGAGGAAGGGGTCTGTCCCATGTCAGCGAGTGTACTATCAAGACAAACAACACAGCACTTAGACCAAAGGGCCCATCTCAAGTTTCAGATTCACAGACAGGAGGGATGGCCCCAGGAGCTACTCAAATTCAGATGGTGGGCTAATCCAGCCTTCAGTCAGATTCCCGCCCAAATTCAGATTCAGATGGCAGGAACCCTGCCCAGACAAGAAGCTGGGACTTCTCTAAGCTTCTCCAGGCCTGTCTTTCTACAGAAGTGTGTCCACTAAGACTTGACCTGTACAGCCTCAGATTGTCTGCTAGCAAACCAAAGGCAGAAACATAAAACCACAAAAACCTGACAAACACAGAACACAGAAAACTTTCTCTGGCAAAACAGAGTTACCTGATGTGGTGCCACAAGACTCAATGCAAGGGGGGGAGTCTTGGTGAGTTTTGGGATCCCAGATGAGCCCCCAAATGTTGTGCCCAAATTCTGAACCTCCAAATTGTCAGGGTCCTCTGGCCATCAACCAGACACTGCTGCCTCACATACTCATAAAACGTGATTCATCCCTCATAGAGTGTACGTGACTCTGGACCGTCCTGCTACCTCTGCTAAATTCCAGAAACAGGCCTGCAGCTTAATTATCAGTTAAAGATTAGCTCAACAGAAAGCCCCCAATTCCACCAGGAGTTAGGTGAGGACATAGGAAAGATGGAGACAGAAAAAGTAAGAACCTACTGTCAGGTTACCTAGCAACACAAGAGGTTCTACCCCAGACCTTTTTCCCTGAGAATTAGGTTTTCAGGCAGCACAGAGGGTTACCTCTCCCACTGACCTTTGCTCCACCAGGCTCATTGCAGCTGCAGCACACCCCCATTCCTTCCCCTCTCCCTTCCCCTATATAAATCCCTTTGGGGTTAAATAAAGTTGTCACCTTGATCAGACTCCTGTCTTGGCGTCCATTCTTTCATATCTCCTGCCCTCATCTTTCTCCTAGGTACCCTCCAGCCCCACGATGAATGTACCGCAGTTTGGGGCACCAAATCACCAAGAGACCCGATCGGATGCAAAAGCAAAGAGTCTTTAATTAATTTACGAGTTAACTGTATAAACTTGGGTCCTCTGTAAGTCTGACAAAGCGGGTTGAGCAAGAAGGAGCCAGAGGGACCATGGGGCAGGGAATGTATTGGGGTGCATGTTGTACCTTTCCCCCATGGGGGTCTGTTGACGGCTTGTTACTAGGAGCTTTTAGCAAAACACTTCTAGTCCCCTCCTCCCAGTAAGGCCTGCAAGCAAGTTCCTGTTTATTGTCTAAATGCTAATTCCTGTTTTTGGCCCACCCTTTGCTGGAGGGCCCTGGGAACATAGGCTTCTGACCGTGGTGCTTTTCCACCAAACCTGCCTTTGGTATATAAGGCTCTACCCTCATAATAATAAACACCATTCTCGTTGTAAGAATGAGCTGCTGTCTTTGTCTTTATTTTCATCCTTAGCCCTTAGCCTCCCATCGTTGTGAAGTATGGTAGCACTGTAGCCGTGCTGGCGGCTCACTACCGGTGAAATGCAAAGGGAGTGTCTGTGGTCTGTAACAGTCTCAGGATTGGTGTGCTTCTGGACTTGGGTGACCTGTCCTGTGTTGATTGGTCAACTGCAGCTGCAGGTAGGTTGCTATGGCTTATGGGCCCTCCCAGGGCAGTTGCTATGCTCTGCACTCCACTGTTACTGTAAAGCACATCCAGAGCCTGCCTGCTAACTTCTCATTGGTTCCTTGACACATGGTGGGTATCTGGCTTCCTAGTGACTGGGACAAGGTTGGAAACTCAGCACATGTTGCTGAGTGAGAGCCCTACCTGTAAGGATTCGGGCTTGTGCTGACCCTGTCCCCCGACAAAGGGCAGGATATGCACACTGGCATTCATGCAGACTCTTAGCCAGCTCAAAGGGCCCTGTGTTGTGTGACTATGTCATGCATTACATGGCTCCGTATGTGCAAGCTTTCCCTTTGAAACAAGTGCCTCCCACCTATTTGCCCTTCCCTTTTTCCTCTCCCTTCCCTGTTCCTGGTTGGCCAATACCTATCTTCCCCTTGTTCCTTTTCACAATAAACTCCACCTGGGTTTTGTAGTTCATGTTTCATCACAAACAACACTGCCTCTTGTTGGCTCTCTTCTGCAACCTGTTATGGCTGCCAAAGCAGGGGGCTAGATGAGGGTCTGATCCCTTCACTATCTCAGGAAAAAATTTCTCCTTTTCTCTCAGTCATTTTGTTAAAGTGACATAACACTGCCTACCTCTCCTACTCTGTTCCTCTTTCTTTCTAGTTCCCTGGTTAACAGAACAATTTTTTTAATTTTTAATTTTAAATAGCTTGTTTTACAGTCAATCCCAATTTCCTCTCCCTCCCCCTCCTCCTGCACCCCCCCCCACCATACCCTCATCCTCCCACCCTATTGCCAATTCCTTCCACATAGGGGATATCTAGAGTCTGTCAATTCACTCAGGGTAGGGTCCAGGCACTCCCCTAAGAGTCCAGGCTGAGAGAGCATTCCTCTTTGTGTTATGGACACACGATGTCTGTTAGTATTTGAGGGATAAACACTAATCCACTGCTCAGGGCCTCATAGGTTGCCCAGGCCTCCTCACTGACTCTCACATTCAGAGGGTCTGGATCAGTCCCATGCTGGTCCCCCAGCTGTCAGTCTGGGATCCAAGAGCTCTCCCCCTGTTCAGATCAGCTGTCTCTGCAGGTTTTGCCAGCCCATTCTTTGCCAATTTGCTCATCACTCCTCTCTCTCTGTCGCTGGGTTCCTTGAGTTCAGTAACAGAACAATTTTTAACCTGACCGAATTTCAGGTCAGATTGTCAAGCTCCATTAAAACAAAAACAAAAACAAAAAAAACCAACTTACTGCTATCATCAAAGGATTCACACTGAATTCAGAAATCAATTATCACGTCTCATGAAATAAAGTAAGTTCTTCATTCTATTAGTGTTTCCAAGTATAGGGAAAATGATCACCCACAGCTGCAAGTCTGTGCTGAGGCTCTACTAAATGAGATGGAACAAAACCAAGACTCTGTACTTGTACTTTATTAGGTGTTAGTACTGCCTCAACCACTCCCAACACGAAGCACAGACTTCTAGGCTGAGCATGGGGTAGACACCTATAATCTTAGTACTTGGAAGTGTTGCATATCAGTCTGTTCTATCTAGTAAATGCCAAACAAGCCAGGGCTACAAAATGAGGCCCAGCTCTCGTTACAGTACACAATTTGAACACAAAGGGCTCTTTACCCAGTGACGACATCTCCCCAACATGACTATCATTTTCCTTCTCTGAGTGGATTTGCAAACAGGTTCTGTGCTCACACATTCTTCTTGGGAGTGATATACATTCAAATCCTCAAAGACCGACTGGAAATGACCAGGAAAATCAGGCGCGAGAGGCCGATCTCTAGCCTCCTCCTCCTGAGTTCCCTCAAAGATTGTCGGCAACCTTTCAGAACTTGCCGCCTTTTTGCTATGACGACAGGGAAACCCTGGGAAGCCGGATGTTTCTGCATCTGTGGGACCACTTCCGGTTAGTCACTTCCGTTGTGGAAGCCTGGTTTCCCCGCTCGAAGAGAACACTCAGTGCTTGAAAGGGCGAGGCTGAAGGCTGGCTGAGGCGCTCTTAGGGCCCTCGGGAGGCCTGCGGGAACTACTCTCTGTGGCTCACTCTTGATGCAAGAAACAGGAAGCTACCTCTGCCCCCACCCCTGGCAGGTGAGCATACCGTCATGATTGGCAACCTAGGGTCTAGTGCTCGCTGGGAAATGTACTTCCCTCCGAACTGTTATCAGGAGACCTCCTGCTGGCCGGGAGGGTGGTGGACGGTCAGAGGCGCTCGGTTTCTTTTGCAGCATCCCCGAGGGTTCGGGACCCGCTGGGCATGCGCTCTGGGTGTGTTCCTTGAGTTTCAGGGGAACCTGAGTGTTGGGCTGTGCGTAGGTCCCAGTTTACTATCCTCTACACTGTCATATTTTTTAAAAAAAGAGTTTCCATTTCCCTATTCATTTTTGGCCTCTCACAGACTTGAGATCCTTTCTGAACCAGGCAGTCTCCTGCCTCAGCCTCCTTGAGTGCAAGGAAAGCAAGTGTGACCACTAACTGTAGCTCTTTCTTCATTCTTTCCTTACTCAGTTTATTCCCGGTTAGGTACTGATGAGGATTAATACAATCTATGGGCACAGATTCTCTTATTCCTCTGTTGTGGCGTTCGAATCCACTGGGAAACACCAAAGACTTAGGCTCAATTCAAATTTAGATTAAATAAGTTTATTCTTAATGCTAGCAGAAGGACACGAACATAGAGCCAAAGAGCACTCATTACATGTGGAAGGGAGATTACAGCGGGGTTTTAAGGAGACATCATAAAGGTATGCATTACAACTGTCCATGGAACCACAGCTGGGCAGGACAATTACATTCCTCAGTTGTTTCTTTCCCCCTCTATTGCGATGAAGAGCCTATCCTGTCACTTTCCCATAGCGATTAGCAGGATTTACAGAAGCAAAGTTAATACCTCACAGTCCATTATCCTATTCTTACCTCACCTGCAGGCCACTAGGATCTCCCAGGCATCCCAAAGCAAAAAGTCAACGGCCCTTAAGGGATGCTCCATATTAAGTTTTTTTAGTCATCACAGGGGACCTGTGTAAATTATTATTCAAGTCTGAGCACTCCAATGACTGAGATAGAGCAGGTCAGTTCTTGGCAAAAAAACAAACAAAAAACACAACACCATTAGGTAGGGCTGACTGTCACACCCCATGCCTAAACGAATGAAATGACAGCCTCCAGTATGATGCTGAACTTTTTCTTTGTAAGCATGTCAACACTAGTAATCGCCAACCCAGTTGACTATGGCTTAAAATAAAGAGTATGAAAACCGGCAACAAAATTTTTGAAAGGTATCTGCTTACACAAAAAAGTTTACTATACAAAATTTAAGTGAGTGAACAGTAGAAAACGTGTGTGTGTGTGTTGTTGTTGCTGTTTTAAAAAGGCAGACATCATCACAATGCTGGGGAGGCGGAGACTGGGGGATCCCCTGGGGCTTGCAGGCCAGTCATCCTACTCTACTTAGCCAGTTTCAAGCCAGGGAGAGACCCTGTGCAAAAAAACAAAAAACAAAAAAGGATGGCAGCTGAGAATGGTCTGAGGTCGATCTCTGCTCTCCGTGTGCCATATACACGCACATTTGCACAGACATGTATAACCATCATGCAGACAGGCACACACCATATGCATTCATGCATAGATACAAAAGTAACATTGTTACCCGGTAAATTATGTACAGCCTACCTTCAAAGCTGTGGTTAAATCATTATATGTTAATGTAGTACAATACAACCAATAAATAGAATAAATTAAAAGGCAAATTACAAAACAGTATTTTATAATGCTAAGAATAGCAGCAGTCTGCCTGAAAGGAAGCTGATACAAAATTCCCTTCAGGTATGAGATTGGTTAGAATATAAGGGTCTCAAGGCCATGACTGGGGCTCCAGATGGAAGGAGAGTCTTGGAGGTACATCATATGGAGAGACAATATGGTGGTACCTTTAGGGCATCACCTTCAAAACCCAGAGATGTACTTCTTTAAGAAGCTGGGAAATGGTGGCGCACACCTTTATCCCAGCAGAGGCAGGTACATCTCCGTGAGCTTGAGGTCAGCCTGGTCTACAGAGTGAGTTCCAGGACAGCCAGGGCTACACAGAGAAACCCTGTCTCCAAAAACCAGAAAGGAAAAAAAAAGAGTGAGAACAAAAGAGAGTGTGTGCTCCTCTTGGGACACCTTTATTTTCTGTAGGTTTTATATCCCCCGGACCAGGGCAGACAGGACATACCCTGAGAGGGAAAGTGCAGTGGAACCTTGCGTTTGAAGAACATCTGAGAGTACTGCTTCATGCAGGATAACGCAGTAGCCATGCACTTCCTCTTCTGAAGGCCACTGCGTGCCATTGCTGTGTGTGCCATCTTCACCTGTGATCACCAGTGTGGGAGTACCCCTGCCAGCATTTGGTGTGCGTCTTTGGCACTATGATGGTTACTGCTGTCAGCTCCGACAGATTTAGGCTCACTCTCCGGCAGTCTCCAGGCGTGTTGGTGTCGGTTGATTGAGGTGAGAAGAGCCACCCTATAATGTGTGTGGCAACGTTCCCTGGATTTGTGTCCTGACTGACTGCATAGGAAGATGGGCTTTCAAAGTTTGCCACTCTGCCTTTTGGTGGTGGATGCAACGTGACCAGCTGCCTCAGGTTCCTTCCATCGTGGCGGATTTGCTATGATGTACTAAACCCTTGAACTATGAATCAGACCCCCAAACCAGGGAGTTTTATTACAGCAACAGGAATACTAACTAGTACAGGTACTAGTATCATTTTCTTTTTTTCTTTCTTTCTGTATGGAGGCTGGACCATAGTCAGAGTAACCTGAAATCCAATAGGCTAGACCCAAACTCACAGGCACCATCCTGCCTCAGCCCCCCAGCCTAATGTTGTTTTCTTATTTATTACATCTCATATCAGCTGATACCTCATTAATGACTGCTGGGTGAAGGAATGAAAGATCCGAGGCCAGGGGCCAGAATGGAGGAACAGTGTTGGGCACTGTGTGAAGTCTCTGGTTTGGAGAAAAGTGGATTCCTTTTGCTTTGTCATCATTGTGACCCAGTACCATTCCGTGCAGAGTTACAGTTCCCTTTCTGCTTGCCAATGCTGTGCATACTTCCAGGACCCGCATTGTCTTGTCTCCAAACTCTGCCTCCCAGTGATGACAGCTGGAGTCAAAGCTAGGGGTATCCAGAGTGATGATGTGACTTTAGAATCTCTGGGGACTATTAGGCAGCAGGTATGACTTGTTTCCAAATCTCACACTCTTCATGTCAGAGAAGTTGAGGCTGGGCTGAGCGGTTGCTGGGTCAGAACCCCAGAAACTGCAGGAAGAATAAGAACACCTAGCTGCGGGTGGGGATCTGCAGGTTTCTCCCAAGGTTCTCTCCATCTAAGGATGAGGGATTTCACTGAGATTGTGGTAGGGAACAGGAACACACAGGGACATGACATACCAAAGCTACTACTTGCCTTGTTCTAGGCACTTACCAGCACATTCCTGAACACCAGTCAGTTCTGGAACTACAGAGGGGGAAAATGGAATAAAGAAAGTTCTAAGCATACCCGCTCAGGGGGTCTGAATTATACCATCCCCACAAGTAATAGGAGTCTCCTGCTTAGGGCTCTGCATTCTGTTAGTTATAACAAAGCCCCCTCCCCCCAGCACTCCAGAGACTCAAGAGGTTAGATTAATTAACAAGGCAGACACAGAACCAAGCACAGCTGTGGGGGCCTCTGTTCTAGGTGTTTTCTGAATAGTTCCCCCAAAGCAACAGATAAAGGACAATTACAGAAACTCTTAGTTAGCTTGTATTTCCACCACCATACTCACAAATGAAGGTTTCCATTTCAGGAGAGATCTAAGTTTTCGTTTGTTGTTCTGAGAAAGGGTCTCGTGTAGCTCAGGTGTGCCTTGAGCTTCCTGAGGCTCTGCAGCTCCAGCTTCCACCTCTGGATAAAGTACTATGTCATAGTCCTGTGTGTTTCCACCATCCCATTTCTGGTAAGTGTTGGGACTCAAACCCTCGGCCCATTCTGCTACATTCGCAGCACTGAATGTTTCCATTTCAGAGCGCAGGGTTTCTGAAATGGAGGAAACGGAATGAACGGTCAGGTCCTGGGCTGCGTGGGTTTCAGGGCGGAAGTGAACAAGTGCTTCTCATCTTCCTCCAAGCTCACTCACCTGAGAAGTACTGCATACTCTTCTCCACAAACTTTGACTTCTGGTAGAGCAGGTGTATCTTTTCCTTGACATCTGGAGGAGTGGCTGATGGCTCAGAGACAGTCACCATCTTGGCCCTTCAGACAGGAGATTGTTGTCCAAAGAAAACAAGAGCAAGATGTAGCCTGAGTCCCTATGAGGTGACAGTGAGACCATCCCCACTAAACACACCCATCCAATTAGGGCAACACAAAGAAATCTTTCCTAGACCCAGAGTTCTGACGCTGGTCCTCAACTTCAGCTGCAGATAGCATCTCTGAGCTACTTACAAAATCACAATGACTTTCAATAGCAGCCTTAAAATTGAGTTACTCTTGCTGTCAGAATTCTCTATATCAAATGAGTTATACTTCTCTACTATTTCTATGGAAAAAAAGGAAAAAAGTGAAATGTCACTTCACACCTACTAGAATAGCCATTATAACAGCAGTAAAAAATGGTAACAGGAAATTACAGGCTGATGACGAGGATATGGAGAATTTGGCACTGTGAATGGGATTGTGAAATGATACTTCTACTGTGGGAAATAGTATGCAGATTCCTTAAATTTTTAAAATAGATGGACATATAGTGATTCCATTTGTAAGTATAAAATCTGAGAAATTGAAAGCAGTGTCTCAAGTTGAGCTTGTATATTAGTATTCATATAAGTACCATTCCCAATAGCCCAAAGGTAGAAACAGCCCAGATGTCTGTCAGTAAATGAATAGATAAGGAAGACATGATATCTGCATACAAAGGAGTGTCACTTGGCAATTAAAAGGAATTCTGATACATGCTACAATATGAACTGTGGAAACATTATATCGAAAGAAAGTAAGCCAAACAGTAAAGGACAAAATTTTACGATTCTGCTAATATGCAGTATTTAGAACAACCAGACTAATAAACAGAAAAAAACAGAATGGTGGTTGCCAGGCAATAGGGGAGGGAGGATGAGGAATGAGTGTTTGTTGAATAGTATAGAGTTCCTATGTGGGAAGATGAAAAGGTTCTGGAGGTGAATGCATTAACATCCGTACACTGCGACATAAAATAGCTGAAATTTTATGCTATGCATATTTTACTGAAAAATAATAAAAAAGCCCTCTAATGCTCAAGTGCTAACCCCAAGATTTAGATTTAGTTGGTGTGGCTGCAGCTTAGACACCAGCATTTTGTAACGCTCCCAAGTAACTATGAGATGTTGCCTTTTCTATCACACCTGTCTCTTCCCCCTGCCTGCTGGGCTTTGCCTACCTCCAAATGGATCCCCAAGGAGACCCCAAAAGTGCTTGAGACCAGAGGCAGTTCTTCAGAGACCACTGTCATAAAAATGAGTGGCATGGAATGCAGGCCTTTTGAGAGGACACAAACCACCGTCTGTTTCCAGCAGGACTGGGATAAATCCATTCTTCTCAGTTTCCATTCATGCCCTCCCTCTCTCCCTCCCACCTGGCCAGGCTCCCATTCTGTTCTTTTCGTCACACAAATCCAGGAAGGATGGTCTCAGGACCCAAGTTTCTCCTAGGACTGTCTCATCCAAATACTTCCTGCAAGATACCCAAAGGGACACCATGGGACATCTCTGTACCTGTGCAACGTGACTCCAATGTCCTAGGAGAGAAAAGAGGGAAGCTCTCCATTACCAGTCTCCAAGAGTCTGTGACTCCCAGGCTGCAAGCTGCCTTCTGCCCTTTCAAGGACCCCCAGTGCTAGGGCACCAGTAAATAGAAACATTCCTCCTTCATTATAATTCTAATCACAAGGCTAGAGGCTTTGCCAGAACCCACAGTTCAACTGTACTGCAGTTCTTCTGATCTATTCTTGGTGATGCCAGGGGCATCTTAGATGCCGAGATGTTCTGGGCTTCCAAGAGACCTTATCAAAGAGGCATGAGCCCAAAAGACACCATGGATCATTGAGACCAAGTCCCATTCCAGGCCTTAAGGACCTTGCTGCCTGCCTTGGGCAGTGACAAGAGCCTAAATTATCCCACTGGGCACAGCAGGTAAGAGAAGGCCAGGCACACTCGCACTCACCTGCATGAGCTTCCATTCTGGCTGGTCTTGCTTGGCCTCCAGTTCTCCAATCAGTTCATCCAGGAGGGCAATGTCACGGGAAACCCTGGTGTCATATGTCTCTCGGACCTTGCCAATGGTCTGGCCTAGCTCCTGTAGCCAGGTCACAAAGAGTTTCTCTTGCTGCTCCAGGAATTGGTACAGCTTCTCAAGTGGACATGAAACCCTCTGCTGCTGGGTTTCTGTTTCTTTCTGGGGAACATAGAATTGGGAGATGTACAGGTGTGTGCTGTGGGCTGGAAGTATGTATCCAGGGATGCCCTGAAAGCCTACCTCACAGAGACAGATGAGAGGCAGGCTTCCTTAGTGTGAAGCTGGAATGAGAATGACCCCCATAGGCTCATATATTTGAATGTTTGGTCCATAGTTGGTGGAACTATTTGGGAAGGATTAGGAGGTGTGGTCTTAGGAGTGCTACTGAAATTGAGCTTTGAGGTTTTAAAAGCCCACACCATTCCCAGTTAGTTCTTGCACTTTCTTGGCCTAATGCTGTGGACAAAGATATAAGCTCTCAGATATGCTTCAGCAACATGCCTGCCTGTCTGCTGCCATGCTCCTGGCCATGATGGCCATGGACCTCTAGAACTGTGAGCCCCCAACTACATGCTTTCTTTTATAAGTTGAATTTCTCCTCTGACTTCTACCTTCCAAATGCTGAGGTTATTCGGGTGTGCCACCACATCTAGTTTTTGCCATTCTAGGGATGGAACTTGAGGCCTCATTGATTCTATGCTTCTACTCTACCAACTGAGCTACATATTCAGCTTCAACAATAATTACATAACTAATACAGAGAAGTTTTGAAATGACAGTCTCTAGTTTCTCTAAACTGTTTAGTTGTGAGAAGGAGAAAATGATCAGGTCCTGGGAGGTGACCTTCTCTCTCCCCTGACAGGGAAACACAAGGATGAATGGGCTCATCTTAGACCTCCCTACCATCACCACCAAGACTGGAGACCAGGTGACCATCCCTGCATGCCCCGCTCCTCTTTCCTGCAGGTGTAAAGGGGCAAGGACTGGTCTGGGGCCTCACCAGAAAGTTCTCTGTCTTCTTGTCTCCCTGCAGTCTGTGTTCTTCCACACACCCCCTCAGCTCCCTCAGACGCTCCAGCTGCTTCTGGATTTGCTCCTGGAAAAGAGTATTGGTTTAGATGCTTACGTGTGATTACTGCCATGTTTAGCTCATACCAATCCTAGAGGGAAGAACTGGCTTATGGAAACAGAGCTGGGGTGCTGTAATTGTGAGCAAGAGGAGGGGTTCTAGGAAAGAAACGGTGTGAATATCACCAACGATCCATCCCCACAGGGTGACCCAGGATCCATACTGAAAACCAGTACCCTTGGACTTCTGAACGATGTAAATGAGCAGTCCCTTCTTTGCTGTCCTGGTTAGTCTTGTGTTTTTACCAGTTATAGCCCAGGAATCCTGACTATTGCACCCACATCCCAGAGGGGTTGGATAAAGAGCACACTCCTGGGTGTCCAGCTATATGGGGGTGAACACCTACCTTATACTCCAGTGCAGCTTCCTCTATGGGACGCACTCGATGGCCTTGATGCTCCTGACTCAGCCTGCAGATGAGGCATATGGGCTCCCTGTGGTCCTCACAGAAGAGCAGCTGTACCTGCTTCATGTGACGTGGGCACTGTGGTAGGGACTGGGGGCTCTGGTCTCCACAGCTCTTTCCTGCAAGTGAACTTTGGCACTGGAAGCATATGGGTAAGCTTCTGCCTGGGGCCTTGGGATCCCCAGGAGCAATGGAACAGCTGCAGGAGCTTTGCACACAAGCACCACCATGCAGGTCTCCTTCCTGGGTGTGGCAAAGAGGACATGCAGCCTTGTCCTGTGACCTTCCTGGAGACACAGCAGTGGAAAAATCTCCTCAGTGGCAAACCCAAGATAGTTATAAGAGAGTAATTGTTCATAGAGCACATACATTCTCAGAACTGGCCACTTCCCAGCATGCTCTTCTCTGACTTCCATCCAAATGAAGCTATAAGCGAGCAACTGAAGCTGAGAGTGGAGGGTGAGACTTTTCTGGGCCCTGAAATTCTTGGGCATTTATTCTCTGAGACGTCTGTGGCCCTTTGCTGTAAATCCTATGCTTTCCCCTTGCACAGATGCATATCTAGAGGCTCATTTAAAAGAAAGCACTTGTTGACAGCACTTGCTTTACTATGGCAAACCACCACAGATTGCCCACAACTCAAACAACAGCTCCTGGGGATGGCTACTATGTGCTTCATTCACGGACAGGCCCTCACTTCTAGCAGAGAATCTGGCCAGAGTGCACAGCAAGTATTTGAAACGTGTGTGTTGGGTGAATCCTCTGCTCCCATTCAAGAAATAAAAGTAAAGAAGGGAATTTTTTTAAAGCTAAAGGGTTACTCTCCCAGTGAAGACATAATAGTTATGAACGTTCTGCTCCAAAGCTATAGTCGGTGCCCCTATACATCAGAAATGACAGAAGACACACGAAGAAATAGAAATATACACAATCCATTAACTCCTCCTCTCTCCCTGGCCCAGGAATTTGCCTTACAGGCAAAAGTCATCGTGCCCCATAAGGAACCATTCTCCTGTGACAAAATTGTTTGCCTATATTGCTGCTCCTCCTCCAAACTGAGATTCTCAGCCTCCCATGCAGTTAGCGGGAGCCATTGATCAAATTCTAGTCAAAGGGAAGTAAGTGAGAACAAATAGTCTCTAAAACCCTTTAAAAAACCTTCTCTACAGCATGGTGTCCCCTCTTCCCCTCCATACTCTTGAGTGGAGCTAGGTTAGTGCCTCTGAGGTATGAATTTCAGGGGGAAAAACTCGAAGCAGAAAAACAGCTCAGCAGAAGTTTGGCTGTGGTCACACAAATGACTCACAATTATGTGAAAGAGGAACCGCCTTCTGTATTGCTCATCTAAGCTGGTGCTTTCTATTTCTTGCAGACAAACATAATCCTGGTGACTAATTTCCCAGTACGAGGGTTTTTGGTCAACATCTTCCCGCCTGCCCAGAGAAAGGTGATTAACAGAATTTCTGCCCCAAGACTTTCACTGTGGGGTAACTGTGGGAAAGGGATATTTTAGCTCATGCTTTTTAGATCCTTAACCTAACCTGACAGAGATTTGATGCCACCCTTTGTGCAAGATGTGAAAATGAGCATTCTTCTGGGTCTGCATCACATTTGCACGGGGACCTCTGGAGACAACCAGGTATCCCAGCAATAAAAATATGGTAAAGATAAAATGAAACTCTGGAGAGTTGGGAGAGGATACCTTTACAAGCTGTGGATGCTAAGAATGCTGGGTCTTCTGGAATTTGGGCTGGTTTTTCACATAGTGACAAAGGCTCTTCTGGATTGTAGGACTCATAGAATGTGCTACCAGCCATCTTCCCTAAGCTCCCAGGGGTTTCTGAACTCCAAGTTCCATTTTCCTTCCAGGATGTAGTGTGTTTGCCATCTGCAGTCAACGGTGTTTTGGAAGGCGTGTTCCTAGATGTTTCTTCATTGGGGGCCGTGGGAGGTTCTGGATTCCCTGAGCCCTTTTCTAGAGCCCCGGCAGTCCCCTCATTCAAGATATTTACTCCCATGGGAGTAGGGGCTGGGTGTGGATTTCCATTCATTGTTTTCTCTGGACTCAGAAGAGCTTCTGAATTTGGGGGTTCTCCTTCGCTTGAGTAAGTGGTAATTTCAAGACTTTTGGGTCGCTTCTTTCCTGAAGGTAAATATGCTTCAGCTTTCTTGCATTCTCTTCTCCCAGGGACATTGTTGCAGAATCCCTGCAGCCTCCCTGCAGAGCTGGAATTCCTGCGGAGCTGGGCACTTGCCCCTCCTTCCTTGTCTGCTGGGAACTGGGTGTTGATCACAGTTTTTTTATAGGGTGGTGTTGTGCTCCTGGCCCATGGCTTGGTCTGTGAGTCCAGGCTCTCAGGGCCCCTCTGATCCCTCTTTTTGACAAGAGACTTCTTCTGGAACCCCTTGTCCACGTCAGACTGGCTGGGTGTCAGGCTGCCTGATCCATCACCTTCCAGGACATCTGGTGCTTTTACACTCCTGGGATTACTCTCTCCACACTGGACAGAACCACCAATCCTATTTTCTTCTGTTAAATGTTCTAGAAAGACAATCAGATGGAAGCATGAAGCTGTCCTACATTCAAGGCTGAGACTGGAGGAAGAGACAATCTCTTCATAGTTACTAAAGGGAAAAGCACAGAGCATTCTAGACAACAGCAGCTCAGTTACATAGAACCATAAAATACAAAGTAAATAAAAGCTGGAATATTGATGGATGAATGCATGATTATAGATGTGAAAATTGATTTATAAAACAAAGCAACAGAAAAGAATTAAAACAGACCAACTCAGTGCATAAAGGCAATTTCCAACAAGCTCGATGACCTGAGTTTGACCTCCAGAACCCACAAGGGGAGAGGAGAGAAGCAATTCCTTCAAATTTTCCTCTGACCTTTCTATGTATGCATGGCACACTGATACTTGTATATGCAGACAGACACAAATACATATATAAAATATAATTAAAATAAAAAATTAATATAGGTGGCTGGAGAGAGAGAGAGATGGCTCAGTAGTTAGGAGCACTGGGGGCTCTTCTAGAGCATCCAGATTCAGTTCCCAGTGTCCACATCAGTAATTCCCGTTCCAGGTACTGTGTTGCCTCTTCTGGCTTTTGTGGAACCAGGCATGCAAATGGTACACACACATACTTGCAGACAAAAGGCCCATACACATAAAACTAATTAAAGTAGAGACTTATAAATGAATCTGGTTTTCATGCACTACACAAGCTGAGGGAAATCCCAGGCCACAAAGATAAGTATAGAAGGCATTTGAAAACAAGTCTGAATGGGTATGGTGTACACCTTTAATCTCAGCACTCTGGACACAGGGGCAAATGGATCTCTGTGAGTTTGAGGCCAGCCTGGTCTACAAAATGAGGCCCTATCTGATAACCAAAACAAAACAAAAAACAAAACAAAACAAACAAAAAACCAAACACAGCAAGCAAACTTGCCTGTAATTTCAGAATATTGCTGTTTAAAATGACAGAAAGGCTTAGATACAAAATCTACATAATGAAGATAATCTGTAATTAGCAACCTAGGCTTTAATTTAAAGAACCTTCCATTAAAAGTGAAGAATATTTAAGCATGTTTGTAAGGGATGCTAAAGAAGAATTCTAAACTGAAATTGGGTGGTTAATGAGGATTTTCGGCCCTTTATACCAACCTAACGTTTGTCTGGGCATGTGTATTAACCGAAAAATGGAGTAAAGAATTCTCTAGGAAGGGATCTGCCTTCCCAGATTCCGACCCACAGTCAGAATATCAGTTTTTATTTTTGAAGTCTTAAGGCTCCTGGGGGAGCGTCAGTAAACAAGCTACAAAGGCCAGAGAAGGACAAGATGTGCTGGGTTTAGATTGCACTGGACAGGGGCTTCCCAGCCATTGAGCTAGAGAGCTTGGGTCTGAGCATTGCTTTCCTCCTCCACAAGTAGCCAGCAGCCGTCGTCTGGGAAGGAACTTGGCCACTTACCTAGTCCTGTGGCCTTGCGAAGCTCCTCTGCTAGTAGGCGCTGGTTAGTGGCCCTGAGGATCTGCAGGGTCAGCCTTACAGCATACTTTTCGCCATAGTAGGTGAGCAGCAGATTGGCCAGCTTTACTGGCCTGGCCATCTGCAGATGGCCCCGGGGGATCCGAGAGTGACCCTTCTCCAGGCTAGTGTTCTGCAGCTTGAACTTGAACTTCTCGAAGTCATAGGGCAGCAGCTCCTCCAGGGTGTTTAGCAGATGGTCACCAGGAGTCTTGGCCATGGTGCTGGCCAGGAGGAACTGTATCTAGCTGCGTGGCTTCTGGGAGAAGATAAAGACCTCTCCCCCGAAACTTCAAGCAAGAAATAGCTTGTGAAATAACGGGCAAGGCACAGGAAACACCATAGGCTTTGGTGGGAACTGAGACTAATGAGGGCGTGTCCAGGGACCAGGCTACTGCATTTTTTCTTTGAACTTTCAGAGGATTTCCAATGGGGAGGGTTCTGCTTTGGCAGTCCATGTCCCGGTTGAACAAAAGGCAGGCTAGACTGTTAGGGAGGTTTTGGGGTTGGGATCCACACCTTCCAGTTGCTCTCTTGTTCTTTCTTGCTCTCAGGACCCAGGGCTGGTGGAATAGGAGAGAGATGCCATTACTTGGAGTTGACCCCTCTGGCCAACTGCTCTTTTTGGACATGAGTTTATAGACCTCCAGGGTGAAGGAACGGACAACAAATAATCCCTATAGGATTTGCCTGGACCTGCTCAAAAAGCAGAAGCCAGGACACTGCGATGCAGTTCCAGTCTGTCAGGTCCATGTCTATTCTGTCAAGCAGCACAAAGTCCTCATGGTGGCTCTGAGGACCACCAATCTCACGTACCTGTTCCCACAGATGACTTGGCACTTGCTCCCCCGGAGTCAGAGTACCCTTTGAAATATATTTTCTAGGCACTTGCCAGGATGCTTGAGATGCAGGGGTGGAGAGATGCAGGCATGCATCCTTTGGCGCTTACAGGTCAGCCAGGGTGAGCCTCAAAGTGGTTCCAAAGTCAATAGAGGGTGCATGGGGGAGCTGACTTCTACTTCACCCTCCTGTTTCTGCCATTATGCACTTCCTGGTTTTTATCCTTAATCTTTTATTTTGAAAGTTTTCAACCTACAGGAAAGTGGAGAGAGTACAAAGCACACTTATATCCTTCCCATAGGTCCCCTAACTGCTTCTGGTTTGCATTTTCTGCTCCCCACTTGACTGTTTTCTTAACCGCTTGATAACAAATAAAAAGTATGGTACCATCCTAAAAACCTTAGATCTGGGTTGTCAAACTGACACACTTGAAAAGGGAACCTCAATTGAACAACTGCCTCCATCAGACTGACCAGTAGGCATGTCTGGGGGGTCATTTTCTTGATAGCTAGCTGATGTAGGCGTGCCCAGCCCATTGTGTGTGATACCATTCCGAGGCAGGTGGGTTTGGCATGTACAAGAAAGGTAGCTGAGTGTGAGCCTAGGAGCCAGCCAATAAGCAGTGTTCCACCACCATTTCTACTCCAAAGCTCTTGCTTTATTTCCTGCCTTGGCTTCCTTTGGTCATGGACTGTAACCTGAAAGATGAAATAAACCCCGTCCTTCTCCAGTTGCTTTTGGTAATGACAATTATCACAGCATTGGAACCCAAACTAGAACAATACCCTAAGCACTTCTAATAATACTTTACTGTATTGTGTATGTTTATGGTATGTGTTTGTATGTGTACATGTGTTCAGGTGCATTAGTGCAAATGTGTGCATTTGTAGAGGCCAGAGATTGACATTGGGTGTTTTCCTTTATTTATTTCCATCCTGTTTGTTTGTTTGTTTGTTTGAGACAGGGTTTCTCACCTGAACCTGGAGCTTACCAAAGATGAGTGATCTGAGAGCCCTCGGGATTCTCCATCCTTCTGGTACAGGGATTGTACATATGTACCACCATGCCTCATTTCTTACATGGGTGCTGGAACTCAGGCTCCTATGCCTATGTGGTGAGCATCAAACCCACTGAGCCAGCCCCTCAACTAATACAGTGCTATTTTAGGTGACCAAATTGCAATTTTTACATTCAAGAAAGGTAACATCACAATAGAACAACCAATTCATTAAATTTCTCCATTTATTCTTTGTTTTTTCTTTTTTTATTTGAGATATTGACTTTTTTCCTTTATTATTTAACATACTTTCTTTATTGATTCTTTGGGAATTTCACATCTTGCACCCTAATTCTGATAACCTCCCGGTTCCCCCATATCCTCCCCTTACCCCTGAAGTGTTCCCCAAAAGAAAATTTAAAAATCAAACTAAAACAAAGCAAGCAAACAAATGAAAACAAGAACAAAGCAACCCTTTTCCTTTCTCCTTCTTTCTTGCCTCTCCAGCACTTCTTCATTCGTCCTGGTGGCCTTGGGAGCAGTGTGTCACATAGCATACACACTTTGTCCTATCAGCTTTACTAGCAAATGCTCATTGCAGTGAGTCACTGGTTTCTGGTTCACCATCATCACTGGATCCTCACCGGAACTCCTCTGGGATATCCCATGGCCACCCCAGTCATGGAGACCTTGCTGGTATTGTTCCACAGGACCAGTCCCTTCAGGAGCTCCAGCAGGTCCTAGATGGGGTAGATGTTAGGGTGGGTGACGTGGATGTCTTTCTGTATGCTGTGACTATATTTTATTACCATTGGTTAATAAAGAAACTGATTTGGCCAATAGCCAGGCATAATAGAGCCAGGTGGGAAGTCCAAGCAGAGATTCAGGGAGAAGAGTGGAGTCAGGGAGACTCCAGCAGCCACCAGGGAAGCAAGGTGTGAGGTAACAAGCCACAAGCCTCGTGGCAAAATATAAATTAATAGAAATGGTTTGATTTAGTTGTAAGAGCTAATTAATAATAGCCCTGAGCTAATAGGCCAACAGTTTGTAATTTGTAATTAATCTCTGAGTGGTTATTCAGGAAATGGAGGGACGGAGAGAAACATCTGGTTACAGGCGGGCCAACCTAAAGCTCAGCAGTGGGCCTGGGTCGTAGCTGAGCTGGTCATTCCGGGCCAGCAGGACCACCTGCCTCAAGCGAGGGGGCAGAGCCAGCTCCCCTGCGCCCATGTGGCCCGTGTCAGTTCTCCCCTGCCTGTGGTGAGGGGTGGAATCATCTCTCCTGAGCAGGAGCCAGCTACACCCCTGCTGCAGTGTCTAGTGAGAGGCAGGGCCAGCAAAGGGCGGGCTAGCTCAGGATGGACCTTTGATTTCACACATAGGGTTCCTACGGCCTCCTGAGGTGACATGGGCCACTAACATCAACACAGACCCCAGGACCGTGGACCTAGACATGACCCTAGGGAGCAGCTTGGCCTAGTCAATATCCTGGCTCCATGTGGAAGAACTGGCCACCCCGATCAGTAAGGTTCTGGAAACAGTATGGCCCCTGGATACCAACAAGGCCACGGGTTGTAGCCCAGACCCCAGGCTTCCATGTGGCCTTTGGTGGCAACATGGGCCACGGACTTTGCACAGACACCGACTGCAGTAGGACCATGGGCCCAGACATGGTTGTTGGCAGGTCTGGATGCCATTATAACCCCAGGTGGCACAGCCCCAGCGGCAGTGTGGCCCCTGGAATCAACATGGCCCTGGATGACAACAGGAGCCACTGACATCAACACAGACCCTGCCTGCAGTAGGGCAACTTCTTTCCATTTTAATCTCATTTTGGTTTATTCACATAGACATTTTAAACCTAATTGGTTAATATGCATTGATGTATACTTGGTGTGTACAGTACTGAATCACATAAGAATCACTTTACACAACAATATAATATACTTTGAACAAATTCCTCCCATACCATCCGTGCCTTCCCTGCCTCAGTCCCTTTGTTCCCTTAGACAATGTTTTTTCTACTTCCATGTCTCATCTATATACATGATTTTTAGTAACTACCATGAGTTCTAATAGGTTTTAATAATAAAAACCCAGAGTCAGATTTTGGGGTAAATGCTGAAAGGTCAGAGAAGTAAAGGATTCAGCCACAAGAGAGACCTCTTACCTCTACTGAATCTTCAGACCAAAGAGGTGATTCTGTCCCTACTAATCCTCAGATTGGATGCCATGAGCCCCTGTCTCCTGCTGCCTTATCTTCCTCCCTCCACCCAGCTGGATCACTCCTGTCTCCACCTCCCTAGTACTGAGATCAAAGGCATGTGGCTCTCAAGTACTGGGATTAAAGGTGTGAGTCGCCACTGCCTGGCTCTGTTTTTCTCTTAGATTAAGTCAATATCATGTAGCCCAGGATGGCCTTGAGCTCACAGAGATCCACCTGCCTCTGCTTCCTGAGATCTTGGGATTAAAGGTGTGTACCACCACTGCCTGGCCTCTGTGGCTAACTAGTGTGGCTAGATCTGCACTTTGATCTTCAGGCAAGCTTTATTTGTTAGATCACAAAGAAAATATCACCTGATTTCCCCTCTTTTGTCTAAAATAAAAAAGGTTATAACTAATGTAAGGAAACTATATACAATAAGTACAATAACTATATGTAACATAGACAGGCAATAAATACATCAACAATATCTAGTCCATTTGCATTTGACAAATTAAGAGAAAATATTCCATATCTATCCTATCTTGGTGAGTCTAAAAGGTACCTAATTCACTTTCTATTCTTATTTGCATTATCAAAATTATTTTTAACGTCTCTAACCTTATATATTTTACATTTCTTTTATGAGTTTCTTTTCTGAGTCTGGTGAACAAGGACTATCTAGTCTTCAACTACCTCAGAGATCAGAGAAGGAAATAGTAACTGAGTAAGCAGGAAGTTCAAGCAAATGACTTCCAAAAAATGTGAGAAATGACAGAAACAGTTGGCTGCCTGGACAGTCACCCAAGGATCCTCTGCAATGGCGGGGCATCCATCTTTGGCCTATAGAAGCAGGATTTTTGAAGGACTGTCCTACCACGTCTTGGCAAGGTTTGGCAGTCACTCTCTTTTGTGTCCTGCTTGTCCAGTTTGGACAGCATACTGTCAGTAGTTGAGGCAAGAGCACTTTCTTGCCAGTGGTTAACTGTTGCCACAAAGAAAGTAATCTACAGGTGGGATTTCTTTGATGTCCATCATCTTCTCCATTGTGGATTGGCACTGCCAGGAGCAGACTGTCTCATTGTCATAAAAAAGAAGAACTGTATGTTATTAAAACATCTTAAATGCCATATTCTGTGAATCTCTGAAGTGTTTGAAAACTATCTATCTAAAATATATCTGTTTAACCTTGAAAACAAACATAATATAGTTACAAGTTTGATTGTAATAGGTGACTATTTATTAACCTGCACTTCCTTATTATCGTAAATTGTTTGTAATAATAATTTTCAAGGACTGGAAATTTTCATTACATTGTTAAATGAGCTGTATAGGTACAATATCTTAAACAAGATTTAAAATGTATGTACAGTATGTTCTGACAAAAATAACCTTAAATTTGTATCACTATACAAAGATCCATATCAATGTAAAATATTTAAAACTAGTAGTTGCTTTTTAAAAGTAAATTCAATAATATACCTTTTATCTTATATATACATCCCCCTTTTCTCTTTTCAGAGTAGATTCAATAATCTGCTCTTTTATTTTATCAATCTAGGAACTATAAATGAAAAAAAGTGTTATCTTTCTGAGATTGACTTAATTCATTTTATATGTTCATCTCCACTTGCATCCATTTTCTCAAAATGATACATAATTTTTTTTCTTTATTACTGAAAAATTCAAATACATATTATATTTTCTATATCCATTCCTCATTTTTTAAGGAATCATTTTCTAAATGCCAGTCTAACCTTTTACATTCAGGTCAATATTGAATGCTTTATAATCTAAATATTTCAACCAGATTTTCATTTCCCAAAGTAAAGCTGTATTATTATTATTATTACTACAAATCTGAGCTGTGAAAAGATAAGGAGATTTGGAAACATTTTAAGTATGAGATAATATTTTGTTGGGTGAGTTTGGATACATTAGGAAGAGAAAGTGTGTGGGAATGAACCTTCTCTATGCAACCCTTGCATGGAGGCTGAAGTCACATGTATGGAGGGTTCCCTGACTAAAGATGGGTGCTTTCCTTGCTCCTTCAGAGTCCAAGTCCTAATCATGGAAGACAGGCATTACCAAAGAAAAGAATTCAGTAATTTCTGAATTACTTATTATGAGGAAAGTCATATAATGGCAAAAACAGGCACAGATATTAGCCTGGAGTTGTCCACAATGGCTTCTGACCTGTTTGGTTGAGGCAGGTCCTCACTTAGAATGGTACACCTGGAACTTGTTATGTGGTGAGGATGACCTTGAACTCCTGATCCTCCAGGCTCCATCTTTCAAGTGCTGAGACTAGTGCTTGGATGTCACACCAGGCCTTTTGATAGGTTTCGAAAGGTTGTAATAGGCTTTCATACAGCCCAGGCTCTCCTTGAACCTGCTATCTGAGATTGACTTAATTCATTTTATATGTTCATCTCCATATAAGGGTAGCCTTGAACTATGATCCTCCTAAGCTTCCTAAGTGTTGGGATTTACAGTGGGCACTGCCACTTCAGGCTTTTTGATTTTTGTTAAAGGGGTGGTTTCTTTGTTTTGAAACAGGTTCTCAAAAACTGGGGGAGTGGGGAGTAACTCACAGTCTTGAAATGCTGGAAAATTACACTTTGCAGGAAACTCTTCTGTAGGTTTACATTACTCAGAGAAAGTACCTCCCCTTGCAAAATAAACTAAGTGAAACCAACCAGAACTTTTCCAAATCTTGTTGAAAAATATTGAGTTTAGTCGGGAGGTCAAACAGGACAAAAAAGATCACCCGATACCCTCTTACGTGGGGTTCCATTGCTGTGACAAACACCATGACCAAAGCAGCTTGGGAAAGAATTTGTTTATCTGGCTGACACTTCCGCATCAAAGTCCACCATCAAAGGAACTTGAGGCAGGAACTGAAAAAGCAATGGAGAAACACTGCTTTCTGGATAGTTCAGTCAGCCTGATTTGTTATACCCCAGGACCACGGGCCCTAAGGTGACACTGACCCACAATGAGCTGGGATCTTGCACATTGATTATTGGTCAAGAAAATGCCCCCCATGCCCACAAGCCAATCCAGTAGAGCCATTTTTTTTTCATTTGAGGTTCCTCTTTCCAAATGACTCTGTGTCAAATAGACATAAAACTAACACACCACATCCTCCCAATAGTCCCTTAATGGTTTTCATATCATCTGCAAATCCACTTTTAAAACACATCTCTACCAATTGGCATTTTCAAAACTATAGACATTGACTTTTTTTAAAGTCTATTTCAGAGTGTCTCTCAGTGCAGACTTGTGTGGCTAGTTCTTGGTGAGTAGGCTGTAGGTAACATTCAACTATCCTCAAGATTTCTCTAGCATCAAAGGACATCTTTCCTTCGTAGTTACCAATTGACCTAAGAGTTCAGCAATATCTTTCACCCAGTGGTTCTAAGAATTCATTGATGAATCTTTCCTAAATAAATTACTTCAAGTGATTGAGAAACAGTGATATTTCCATTTTGTGTTTGCATTATTTGCATATCTTGGATTAGACTTCTGGGGGTTTTTTGTTGTTGTTCCCATTAAAGTTTTGACATAAAGTTGTTTTGTGAATAATACAGTAAACCCTTCAAATAGCACTTATTTTAGTCCAGATATACTGCTTGCTCTGTTTTAATTTCCCTCCCTCTCTCCCTCACTCTCTCCCTCACTCTTTCCCTCCTTCCCTCACTCCTCTCTTTCATCTTTGTGTGTGAGTGCAATTGCACCCCTGCCAGGGCACACACGGTGATCCGAGGTTAGGCAAGGTCTCATCACTACTGTACAGGCCAGAAGAGCTGGTGCTGAAGCTTTGGTGGGGTCTCCTATCTGTGTCTTCCATCT